TGTGATTCTGTTAGAAGGAAATATTGGGAGGATACCTGAAAACGCTCCCATCAGGTTAGCATCCATCTTTTGTGCGGGGCTGGTCTGAAAGCCCAGAGGATTAGAATAAGTTGCCACGGAGACTGGCAGCAGGGAAGGAGGGAGCAATGGAAAAGGTGAAGAGAAGAGAAGAGAGAGAGCGATGAGACGCAGGCAAATATATAGAAGAGAAGTCGACTGAGTGGCGGCGCCACTGGGCGTGACGGCATTAACGATTCAAAAGGTGTGACGTGAGGGCAGAGAGCAAAGAGGAGAGCAGACACAAATCCTTATTTATACTCTGTATACAGTCTATGTTGCTCTGTGTTGGAATGATGCTCGAAATACTTTACACAGAAACACGAGTGGGAGTCAGAGGAGTGGCCCAAAGAGGCTGCGCCGCTCAATCGTTACTTTAAAACGATACATTTAAACTACATTTACACAATAATTTGGGTTTTTACCATGTAATGCACATAATTTGTATCTACACTGGACAAAGACAAAAACCATTAGCGAATAAGCTGCATGGGTTTGGAAACGTGGTGGCTACACTCTGAGGCTGCTCCGCCATGCAAAGCAAAGTAACGTGAAGCTCCAACTGCGCCCAGGCGAGGAGCAGCCAGCGTGAGAAGCTTTTTGGAAATCACAGAGAACGACTGATGCAAACATTTTAATCAACAGTTTATATATAAATATTTGGACATATATTCAATGTCAGTTTTCTTAAATCCTCCCTGACATCATGTTCATGCTTCCAGTTAGTGATACACTTGCTTTGTGTGTATATGTGATGCCCAAAGTCTATCTAGAGCTAATTCTGAGACAGAAAACCTTGAGATGGTTTGGATATGGGGCAGTCACTGGTTTGGAAGCTACAAAGTCAGACTCGAGCACTGGTCCAGTCCAGTTTTTCTGGTCAAAAACGACATCATTTCCTGAAAATGTCCCACTGTGACCACAGAAGGTCCAAACGATGTCGTGAATCAGTGTTAACAAGTGAAGATGAAAGGACGATACTGTGGAGCCACTAAACTCTGTACCTGATAAGAAGTCTGAAGCCAAGGCCTGCTGCTGGTCAAGCGAGTGTGGCCACACCTCCCCCTGCGGCTCCGGGTGCGACGCTGCCGTCTGTCCCCCCGAGGTCAGTTTACTACCTGCAGCCGCAACACAGATGACTGGATGTTAGTTCACTCGCCTCGGTGATCATGCTGATGTCTTCATTTTAATGACACAAGGCTACCAAACTCACACAAACATGCTGGCATACACATTACACAAATACAACAGGCATTGCCAAAATATACACAGTTGCACGGAGGGTTCTGTTGCACGAAAGAAAGACGCACACAGACACACAACTGTACTCTCACCTGCTAAATTTCCTCCAAAAGCAGATATCCCAGTGCTACACAACCAACAATCAGTGGTGTTTGCTATGTGCTGCTCAGTGCCTCTGTCTGTCTCCACTGCAGCCTCAGCTGGCTGTGAGCTACTAACACTGTGAACCCCCAGTCACACATACACACATGCACACGCAAAATCACCACACACAGGGACACAAACACACAGACACACACACGCAATCACAGTCGGGGAGTCTGGCTTTGGTGTGGTGACGTTTTACTGTCTGTCTAGTTCAAGTCCCAGGCCCCGCCAGCTAGCGCCTCCCCTCACACTGCCTGACTTCGCACAGCCCTCTCCTTTCCTCTCTAACCCTGTAATCATGCTTCAGCTCTTGTCCAACAAGTCCCAGACCTCCAACTGACTGTTTGGGTGCAAGAGGTTAAAACGGAAAGAGTCTGCGGAATGAGGACGAGGAGGGAATGGCAGGCTGGCGTCAGCGAGGACGCAGAGAGGAATTGATCAGACGTTTCAGTGAGAAGAGATAAGAAAAGCAGAAAAGAGGATTTCTAGGATGAGCGAGCGTAAAAGAGCAGACAAACAGAGCAAGGAATAGAAGAAACGGGAAGGGACTGAGGAAGGGGAGTAATGGAGGGAGGGGAGTAGCTGCGGAGAGAAGGAGGGATACACCGTTGGCAACCCTCTCCTAGCTGTGTCCACAGAGGGTGACAGTGAGGCGAACAGACAAGACGCCACCCAAAGTCAAAAAAGCTTTCATATATCAGACGTGCACGGGGCCGTGGCAGGGTGCGCATCGTCTGTCTCGACAGGAGGCAGAAAACACTCCGTCGGCAGGGTCACCACTCGCTCAAAAACACTGGTGCTCGAGCTCAGGCTGGATTGGGTCGGTCCCTCTGTCTGCCCAATGAGATCACAGGCTACATACAATCAGGCACATATTTCTACTGCTATGGTTCTGTCCAAGGTGCTGAAACCAGCAGGAGCGGAGCCTGAAGTGCACAGTATGGAACCTTGCTCCCTAATCTGTACACGAACCACCACTCGATAAAGAAGATTAGGAAGATATTTCAAATATTTTCAATTCGCTCTGCTTCTGTGCTATTATTAGAAACACCATACTGTCTGCTGGGCACCCATCACTCAAAGAAAACATCTGTAAGGCAACAGTAGAAGTTGTACTAGCAGCCAGAACCAATCAGTCAGAAGCCTTTGTAACTGTGGTCGCTGCACGCTTCGTATGACCTTGCTTCACTTCCAGTCAGAGCTGTTACTACATGTGGGGTTACAGCGCTCCACAACCCAGCATGGACCTTACACCCACCCATAAAATAACTGTAAAAAAGAAAAGAATGAAACAAATTACTTCGACATAAATTGCACAGGTACATTGGGAACAGTTCATAATACCGCCCACTAGTCCAATCACACCACGGAACATTTATTTTTCTATGTTTATGCAGCACTGGCGGCTCGTGGAGTTAGCGACATATGCTAGCTGTGGCAGCACAGTCAGAGATGCGTTTTTAAAAGTCTGCACGTCATCAGCAGACACTAACTGCCTGCTAAAGACTTGCTGGAACTATCTGAAGGCTAAGTGACCCACGAGACCATTGCCGAGCTTCAGCACACTCTTAATGGTATTAGAGTTTTCCAGAGTGATTCATGATGAAAATAAATGTGCATGTGTAGATTTAGTCCAAACGGTTCTCATGTTTCCTCCTGTTTCCGAATGTGTTGGTGGCTGACCGGAAAGCGTAACATACCAGCGATTTGTCACATGGCGTAGCGTGTTACGCTTCAGGAGTACGAATGTGTTGTAAAGACGCTGAATCCTGAAGCCTAACAGGACTCTCATGTTCCCAAAGCCTCTGGGTTAAACTTGCCTTTTTGGATCTTTGTTTTATTTAACATCAATTATGCTGATGTGCATGATGGCTGGATGTTCTAGTATTCAATTGTTCTTTTATGTTACCAATATGAATGTGACTGTTCTCCTCTTTCAACTACCAGAACTTTGGAAAGCAGCACATCCTTTCCAGTAAAATACCAGGAAGTTAGTCAAAGTTAAGCCACTCCATAATACTGCCAGCTGTCCAACTACTTACAATGAAGATGGGAAATATTGATTCTTTTTCTGCAAACTTTAAACCACTTACACTATATTTTTGGTCTCCTTTCCCGTAAAATACCTGCTAATTTAAAATGAAGAGCGTGCTACTTAAAATGACTTACAATGTAATTACTTCTGCCTACAACATGCTGATCGTTCATGCCTCATTTCCTTGTACCGATCTTGGCACGTTCACAGATATCTGCAGAAAGTTTCATTTCAATATTAGTCTTTTAATCCACTCGTCTGCACATACTGTCTGCATCACACCAGATACAGCGTCCAGGGGCTGAAATTTGCACTTAAGTGTTCACTTTTGTGTGAAACAATGGGATCTGGGCTTGGTGAATGTTTTTGCACCTCAGGTCTTTTAGCTTAGACAAATTTTGAGTAGTTCAGCTCAGTCCGCGGGGGAAAATTTCATGCTGGATTTGTGCTGTTGTGTTTAATGTACCGATGGTGAACTGCTCAGCCTGAAAGAGGGACGAAGACCGACTGTGAAGCAGCACAAGTGAGTGCAGGTAAGTGTGTGCGCCAATTTGAACAGCTCCTAGCAGGCGAGTCAGTGCGCAACAGGACGCTCATTACAGCGTCAACACTCATCATGACTGCTTGACCTTTAACCGTCTCCCTAGAGGGCAACACTGAGCTCTGCTGGCTGATTTTGTTTGAGCATTGCTAACTTTGCAATGCAAAGTTTAAACTTTGGGGAACCTCAGCTTTTGAAAACTTCTGTTGTGTGTTATTTTTAAAGAAGTGTTAGCGCTAGCAGACTTTTCTTGTGGTATCACAGGTCCCACCACAGATACTAACCCCAAATTGCTCTCTGATGGATCCATCGGAGTATGAACGTGTGTGAATGTTAGCTATGAAGCACTTAGAAAGGCGTGCTTGTGTGAATGGGTGAATGCACAAGTTGTGTGAAGCGCTTTGAGTGCTCAGATGAGTAGAAAAGCACTATGTAAGAGCCAGTCCATTTACCATTTGATGGTAACAGGCTAGCTTTTGGCTTTCTAACATTTGTCTAGAGTTGAATGTTAACCAATGTGTCTGCATCTGTTAAATTAAAAAAACAAACCAATAAGGAAGTGAAATGGATCAAATGTGTGACACATCTGAAAGCAGCAATGTTTTCATGTAAACGTGGAAGATCATAACTGCAAACCTGCTTTTCCTGAACCATAAGATTCTGCAAACGCCTGTTCAAATGTAGTCATTTCATCTTTCACATAGCATCTGGATGCGGCTCACACTGAAATTTATATTCGGTGAGGTGCTGGATTGATTTAAAGAGGAGGGGAAACCAGTTCCACTCCAGTTCCAGTCTTACATTTGTAACGCCTAAGCTGTCATGTATGGCTTATTTTTTAAAGTGGACATAAAACAGTAAATGTATGAGTTTAATTTAATCACTTAACTCAAAAACTGTCATATATGTAACTCTGTGAAGCTGGATTTAAGGAGGAAGTCTTAGGGGGTCGCTTTTGTACCTGGATGCAACAATGAGTTTTATGTAAAGACAGCAGGGTTGTTTGGCTATCTGAACTGAAATGGAAATGCACCTGTTAGCGCTAATGTTTGGGTTTGGGAAAACAGCAGTTTAACCCACATACTCGTTAATGTTAAGGCTTGGATTTGTTTTAGCCGTGTGCTAAAGAGGCTCCAGAAGAGGCGACCTTTGAAATGAACTCCCATTTGTTAGCACAGCCTTTGTGCTGAAAGTGTTTGAACAGGCACTGATTCCATAAAGAAAAACGATTTGCTTGTTACGTGCTTGATGCTAACAGATTAACTCCGGTTCTTTCAGCTGGAAGTTCAGCTCAGTTGTCTTGGACCACTTGATCTCTAAGGGTGGTCACATCAGCACTGCTTTCACCATCCAGCTGTAGGTCCAGTAAGCAATCAATGCTGCTAAAAAACAAGCCTCCAAAAGCAAAATCCCTCAGCTAGTATGAAACAAGAGGGTGCCTTTGCCCAGTAAGGGCCCGAGAATAATAAGTGGGAGTCTTTGTGTATTGAAAGCTAAATTCTGCATTACGTAAGAGCTGCTGCTGCTGGGGGTTGCCTGACCTCAGTATGAGGACAAAATATGGCAACACAGACTGCAGCAGCTACTGCTTAGACACATCAGAGGCATCTGAGGACACACTCAGAACTGCTCTGCCATAACCGCACACACAGAGACAC